TTTTACAAATATTGTTTTTATTCCATTCCACATTTTTCATTCGTGTTGGGTTTAACTACTCACTGTACTGATACATGGTGATGTTTGTGCTTTGCTTTGCCCGTAAACAGTCCGTGCGCCAAATTCAAAAAAGTCGTCTAGAAGTTGCACTTTTATTTGCAACCGCGGGAAATTTGAGAGGTCTGGAGAAGAAAATTCTCAATGGGACTCAAAATTGACAAACAAGACGACGACCAGCGCTCGAGCAAAGTACCTTTTCGCCATTCCTTCGTGCATGATACCTATTCTAATTGATAAACACTACCCTCATGTTTCGTTTTATGCGCAACGGACGAAGCGAAGTGTCTTTTTTCGTCCACGAAAGAAAGGTAAGGAAATTGTCGTCTACGCGACACCCTTCGGATTATTTAGTGGGGCATTGTGGGCCAAGGGTATTTTTTCTTTTTCTTTACAACTGTCCCCAGGTACTGAGATGGCGCTGATATCCTAGGAGTTCTGTTGGTGCAAAATGCCAGGTTACTGACTTATGGCGAGGTTTGTCCACCCAAAAATATGGGAGATTTCTTGGATAACATACACACATAAATGATAATACAGTGAATGGTATAGCAGTGGGCATCCAAAACGGTTGAACCAAACAAATAATGGTATGATACCTAGAGGCTAGACACACAAAAATCACTCAGGAATTGGACGCCTTGGTGCGTCATTACACCCGGACATTGAATGTTTGCCGGCGCACGGCTTTTGCTTCACCACTTCATACAAGTTTACGCACTCACTCAATTCGAAAGACTGGAACGAGACCAAACCGAATGTGACAACTAAGAGTGAGTTGTGCATTTGTTGGAACAACGTTCGGGCATTGCGAGAAGGATATCAGCAGGGTCCAACAATGGCAGCAACAGCACCAGGTGATGATGGAGTACCAAGGAGCTTGTATCATGCACATTACAGTGAGCAACAAGAGAAACCGTACTGTGGTACGTGAAATCAGAGCCTGGGCAGGATGATCGACACTGTGCTACAGCGCCTCAATTGTGCGAGAGAAAACAAACAGACCAGCAAGCACAGATCATGAACTGGTACACAACATTGACAAAGCACAAACCGCACAGCAAAGTTACAGGGCATAGCCGAGCGTTTTGTTGCCAATGAAGTGCTTGAGAAGGGAGCAGTATTCCTTGTAACATTGCATGGAGTATACGAGAACGCAAAGTCAGAACCAGGCGTAACAAGGCAAGACGGCTACTGTACAGGGGACAGGCTTGACGATCACTTGCATACTCGCAATTTTGGTACAACCAGGAAATTAGGCATCACGTCATACCGAAGTGGCTTCGACACGCTACATTGCATTTATAGCTGTACGGTGAACCTGTTACACGAGCTTCTGTGAAACAGACAGCATGCCAATGACCTGCAAGCACCAACAAACGCAGCCGGTAAAACAAACGCTACATAACTGCCCAACATAAACTTGTACATGCTGATGAGAAGCAAGAATGTGCTTGATGTTGGAAGTTATGCTCGCATAATTATTCAAAAACATGCATGGAAAAACATCAGTGACATTGTTCACGAATACAACAGATACATCCTACAGGGAGAGTAAGTAATCCTTCCTCCGTTTTGTATACGCGCACGCGCGCGTGGTAGATAAATCCGTTTGGCATGACTTTCGATCGAGGTTGCGTTCACCGTAGAGATAGGTGAACTCGAAGCCAACACCTCTCACTTTCGCTCTACTGCCCCTTTGGGGCCGATGCGATCCTTGTGCCAAGTTGTGGTAGTAGCTCAACAGAACAGGACAGGTGTGTGTGTGTGTGTGTGAGTGTGTGTGTGTGTGTGTGTGCGTGCGTGTGTGTATGTGTAAGTGTGGTTTCTGAACTTCTCTCACAATCGTATAAGTTTCATTTTTTCGTGAAAACCCAGCTACACTGTGACCGGCACAATCGAATGTCGTTTACTAGTATCTGGCGGTCAGTCACATGGCATGTCGGGTATCCAACAGCACCGCACTCACAGCTTATAGACCTTATATTTAGTACTTATAGTCCTACTTCAAGTAAATGTAGACAGTCAGCATCATGAAAGTTGCCATTACGTAGAGTTAAATACAAGCCAGTCTCTAGAGATGAGCATGACTGTCTCAAGGTAATACTAGTGATAAATACAGGTACTTCGAAGTACTGTCTTTTTGATCTGTTAACACAAGATGGCTTTGTAGCTTCAGTCGTCCAGAATATTCATTTTATTCCGTGGTTGCCGCATAATTGACACGCAACTGTACTTGTTCAAGTCTCCAAACGCTACGTAATTGGCCGACATTTACTTGTCCACGGTGATGAGAAGCACGGCTCCTAATTTTTAAATCATGTAAGGATTATATACGCAGGTACATCCACACAATGTGCACATCCTGAAGTCGTGCGCAAATATTCAAAATCATTCACCGAACACAGAGAGGCGCACATACCGTAAAGTACCGCGAGAGCGC